GCAAATGCATTACCATTTCTACGGAACAAGTCGCCACATGTTCCAACCCCCAACCTGGAGGGCCAGGAGACTGTGTTCGTCACACCTCTAACCATTGACCAACCTGGTGTGAGAGACTCTGTGAGTGTCGCGGGACACTCTCCAGTATAGCCCAATGAATCGCTGAGGTGCGCAAACCGTCACACCACGGTAAGGTCCAGTCTCTTCGTGACGGTCACGTCATCACTCCATTGTCCGCTCCTGCGAATTGTGCCGAAAATAGCAGCGTTCCTGATACACATTTGTAGATCTTAGTAGTTGCCCTCATATATTCCAGCCTCGAACCAGCCTTCCAAAGGTGTGCGACAGTATTCTCCCTTGCTAGCACGTGATGTGTCCAAGATAGGGTGCGTTCAGCTGTAGCACCCTTTCGGTGCCTAACTGTCATGCCACCCGAAGGTTGCACGAGGACTTGGATACTGCCAGGTTACCCAAGCCTAGACGGGGGAAGTCGAGAGGCAGAGGTCGTGTTCGAACCGCGAACCTTCCGGTCAGTAAATTCGCGCTCTAACCACTTGTGCCATCTCGCCCCTGGGGCCCATCAGGTAGGTGCAGTCCCCGAGTTTCCGTCAACCTTACGTTCTACTTGAACCCAAATTGAACTACTTGCGACAAATACACTCATTGGCAAAGCTAGTTGGTTTTCACGGCTGGCAAAAAGTCGAAAAGGCTGAAAGCATCAACAAAAGTAGGATCTCGTAATCCCCCTCCACCCGGCAGAAAAGCGATACTTTGCACCAAATAAACGATATCGAATGGCACTGTGAATTGCGTGACGGTGACTACTGTAGTTGGTACCAATACAAGATCCGTCATTGGAAAAGTACTTACCTATTCTTCCAGCGCACTGACGCGTGTTCCATCGAACGTGGCAGTCTCCCGCAAACTGATTCTGCGGGGACGCCAGTTACGATACGAAACGGATCGACAGCAGTCGCGAGTATCCCGAATTGTTGAGGAGGTTCGTGGTCCCCCGAACAGTGTGTCGACCAAACGCGATTTGCTGCTCACGATCATCCTTCAGATTGACACCTCACATTGGACGGATTACACTGTTAGACCGACATTGCACCGAATTCCGCATCATCGTCGGTGAAGATCCAGCCTTGATCAACCTTACAAACAGACAGGCGCCGAAAGCTTCGTGTGCTTCTTCGTGCTCTGCAAGGAGCTGAATAATGAAGTGAGTGAGGAAACCTTTATCAAAGTGCAAGGTTAGAGACAAGGTTGTTTCGTTGATAATGTGAGGAGAATTGTACACTTTCAACGAAGATTACATCGTCTAAGCACTCTGTGCTGAAAAGCTTAAAAGTACTGCACACCCGTTTCATCCTCACCAAGAATTAGAAGTCTGAATCTAACCAAACTCCAAGGAACTTCGAGTGTGAAACTTCCTGGTTGGTAGGTTAAACACCAAAGTTGAGAAACCAAGGCATGCAAGTGAAAAGATCAACCCGAAAACAGAACCGACATAAGATAACATGCCCGCACTAATTTCAGCAGTCTGGCCCAACAGGACATCTCTGAGATTACCAGGTGAGCGACATAATGAACTACGAGCAGGTGTTCTTGTGCAGTTTTACTGGGCAGATGTTTAGTAACTGCACAAATTCCTTATGGACAGAGCGGATGGGGAACGTCGATTGGACTTCCGGAGAGAACATGCTATCATCCCTAAAAATGGCTTAATGATTTTGGCTACGGTGTCATCCAGCTGCACCCGGTCGATGGTGATCATCTGGTATTCAAGATCACGTGAACCGCTTGTCATACCTCAGCTTGCATTACTAAAGCACACCTACTATCAACAGCTACACGATTGTGTGAAGACCCTTTCGTGCCCATCAGAAAGGTGTACAAGCAACAAACCTTCACTGACCATCAATGCAAAAACCCTATTTGAAACAGTGTTACACGACAACCGGCATATGTAGTTCTATTTCCGAACTTTACTAACCATGTTGCTGTTGCCCTTCTGCTCCCTGGCGAATGGGTTCTATGCATACTGAGACCTTTCTAGCTAAAGACAAGCACTCTGCTCCTTTCAACAAGATCTTTTGTTGTTGGCCACATTCACTGCGAAAGAAACAGCTGATTTTTTGCCCACAGTGTGCCAAAAGACCATCTGTTGAATTCAGTTTATCTTTCGAGGGAAATAGTGTTTTCCAATAAGACAAATGTGGGGTTCATTGGGACCATTTTCGCTGCTAAACCGCGTCAGATGGAGGCTACATCTTATGGGGATTGAGGCTTGCCCAAAGTATTGATTTCGTACAGAATGGACCTGCGTCATCAGTAATGGAAATCCACGTTCAATCACGTTGGTTCTAAGAGGGGTTCAATCCAGGGAACGGATTATTCGGGCGTTCGACGGGAAACTGTCAGTCACACGGAAACAGAAAGAGCATAGTTCCCTAAAACATGTAATTTACTCGATTCCAACAAACAAAGCTACCCTTGGTGGTTGCAACGTACGACTTAGGAGCGGGAAGGATCCGAAGAGTACCGATGGCTCCTGGCAGTCGGACAGTGAAGGAGTAAAGGAGCTGACGTGCTTCACTGCCCAACACCAGACCAACTTTTCCCACCTACAAATCTAGTTCGGTGAATGCAGACCCCTCCCCGTCTTGAAGGAGCCAGTCTCAATAGGAAACCATTTGGTTCCTTGGGGCTTCTTCAACGGCGAAATCCATCCTACTCAAAAAACAACATGTTGATTGGTCCCCTAAGATAGCATCCCTAGAGTAGGACGACTACCAATTTCGTCTGCCCGAGGTCGTTCGCGCACCTCAATGAAGAAGATCAGCAGCTCTGATTGAAGCCAGGAAAACTATATCGGCAACAAACGACTGTAACTGATCACAAGCAGATCCCTTAAATACCAGATAATAAAGAGCCTTCAGGATTGACAGAGAGCGCTGTTGGGTCGCTAAGCTCCAGAAAACGGAGGTCTCTGTAATGGGAGATAGTCATGCACTTTCTCAAATGGTTCGAGGAGGGTCGGTACTGGCGAAACGATAACCGAAAACGATCGTGAAAACGTCGTCCTAAACGATGAGCTGAACACTTTATGACAGAGAAGCATACATGTCATTCTTTCGATGACGACGATGGTGATACTTCAGACAACAGTATAGCTGGACAACTTGAACCAGGTGGTTACGAAACTGACGAGTCCGTCGTGGTTGACCTAACAATCCTACTCCAAAAAATCTGGAATGAGGGAAAAATTCCAATAGAATAGAGAACCTCGACGGCGATTCTCAAGGAAGGAAGCAAGGACCTCGCAAATAAAACAACCAGGACACCAGCCTAGCGGCTTGATTTCCAGATGTTCTCTGGCATTAGCCTACGCAGTTTAATCCATCATCAGAAGAGTCAGATTCGCGAAAATCACGCCTGACCGGAGCTGAGTCGACAGTAGTTTCACTTCGCGAAAAGCTTTAGAACTGTCACTAACTTCGACGAACAAAAATGATCGTACGGATCTGCTTTTGAGTTCGTTGATCGTCAGAAACTGTGGCAGTTAGGCAACGTGGCCCTTTAAATTCTTTTATCTTGTAAAGGCTTTATGTCCCTCCCGCGGGCGCTAACTTGACTACGGCAAGCTCTCTCCTGAGTCCACAACATCCAACGGTGTCAAGCAAAGATGTTCTGACACCTTTTTTCTTCGGTCTTGTAATCGACACGCTTCTTGAACGCTCTTTACCTGCCTCTCATCATCATCATCACCATTATCAGCTGTAATAAACCCGTACTCGTCGTACAGTGGTTGTAGCTGCCGCAGTTTCGTTCACCGATGATTCGAGGGGGGTAGGTAGCTGCGCATTGCAGGTGGGAGATGATAAATTAGTGCATAAATCCAGCACCGTCAGTGGGCTGTCAAAAGTGGGCGGTTAAAAAAGGAGCTATGCATTGAAGGCAATAGCTTGGGTGCACGAGCGCCATTGAGGGCACGACTGGGCCATGCCTGACAATGTCTCTAACCATTGATGTGGCCGTCTCGGGGTCCCCATCCAGGAAGACGGCAGTGAAAAGTGCAGCTGAGTTTGCTGGCAATGGCTTTCACACTTCGCTGCCAAGTCATTGTTTGACCGCCTCTGCCTCTCTTCCACCCTTCATGTGGTTGTGCGAAAAGAACTCTTCGAGGAAGTCTGTCGACTGGCATACGCAACACGTGGCCAATCCAGCGCAACCTATGCAGTGTGATCAGTTCATCTATCGAGGGTGAGTTATTTCTCCTGAATACCATTCGACGTACCCGCCTCTAACATCTCGGAGATCGAAATATTGCTGGGATGTTCACTCACAGGCAGTGGGTACGCCGACGATACTTCTCTCCTTGAACCAGATCCTTCAGAAGTGCAAACGATCTTAAATAACCTAAATATATCTGCTGCACAATTCGGCATGCGCCTCGTACTTGTAAAGTGTAAAGTGCTGCTGTCAGAAGCTCTGTATAGCTCAGTAATAAGTCACGAATTCACTGACCGGAAGTCAGATAGTCCGAAAAGAAACTGACAACACGAACGCCATTGATACCCATCAACCGTCATTTCTTGCATTGTTTCCAGCCAAGCACATGAGAGGTCAGGGGGACCCCATTCTGTGGAAGGCGTACTGCACCAACAACACTTAAACTCTCCTCCACACCCTTCTGCCATATCATACGTTGTTCAACTCACGGTTTCCGCCTTCGTCTAATACAACTACCGAGGAATGTCAAATCTCCCACATCTCATGATTCTCCTTGAATTGTAAGGGATATGTTCGGAGACTGCACATTATGAAGCATGTCTCTGTACTTGGAGACGCTAAGCGCAGGTCTGTGTCACGCATCCAATGGCGATCTTGCAACAAAGCAGACGCCTCCTTCCATACTGGACAGAGAGATCCATTTGTCGTCAATGAACAGAATGAGCGGTTGCCTCCAACCGGTGGCTCTTATTCACTTGGCCTCCTTAGCCTCGGTGACCGAAGCCTTAATAGTTGCAACCACTGCATTTCGATGTACGGTTTGCGATCTGGAAAACTTAACTGAATTGAACACCCTGCTGACATTAAACACCAAGTGGGCGTCAGTAACTGTGTGGCCTTGTGTACGGAACATGTTGGATAGTGTTCAGCGAGAGGTTGTCCTCTGATCGTTTCAATTTGGTTTGCACTGTGTGAATCTTGACTGCTTTAGAACCGAGGGATCACAGATTTCTGGACTCTGAAGTTCAAATGATGATCGTTGGAGTGCATTCCAGCAAAATCGCTTTTGTGCTAAGTATGGTTAAGGCTAACACGGTCATATAACCGGAATAGTGCTAATAAAGAGTGAGACTTGCCAGGAAGGAAATCAGTTGGCAGCCATCCACACTCATTATACATTTACCGGGTGGCGATAGGCCAGTAGGTATTACATGGGGAGTCGTACTCTTCCTGTACGGAATTCTATATTATGCGCACACATGGGTATTAGCTCTTTCCACTCACCAGTAAGGACAATGCTCGGTCCGTTAGTAAGGGCAGAACTACTCACATACTGAAAAAGCGACACAATCGTTAAAAGGTGACATTAAGTGAAACTAATGGTGCTCAACTCCATAAACGATCCGACAAATTCTAGTGTCGCGGACCGTGTTTGGGAGTTTTCTGATTGAGCGTTTGGCAACAGCAAGGTAACAAGACCTTGACCCCTCTAGTACATTATTCTTATGCAGCTTGGAAAGATCCAGAGTCGTGTTAGCTGAAATTCAGTAAGTCACGAACGATCGAACCTAACTCTGAGCAATTCCTGTTTTAAAGTCACCATAAGGTCTCGGCTATTTGTCTGGGTCCATATAGTTTTTTGTCGAAAGGATATGCAAATCAAGAGTTACGAAACGCATAAATTGCCCCAGGGGTGTGCGGGACCACAGTCATAATGTTTAGAACGTCAGACTCCTTCCCGAAACTACAGCCCTTTATCATCAACACCATCAAAATCAGTATCACGGGAGGTGTTGTGACTGTGTGGCAGCCAGGTGATTTAGGAGATTGACCCAATTTATTCTGTCGCCTTGAATAGTCCAAGTACTTGAATGGGCGAATCCAAAGGAAGAAGATAAG